GCCAAGGCCAGTTATTAAAAGACTGAGAAGAACACACAAAATAACACTTGTTACCTATTTTTCATTGTTAGGAACAACGTGTACAGTACAGAATGCTCAGCAACAAGGTCTATTATAAAGCTCTGAGTGCCTTTAATATCCCACATCGCTGCTAAAATTTACTCATCTATACAACAAATACGTTCAAAGGCACAGACATTTCTGTTTGTTGCAGCAAAAACAGTAAAGAATCTTGTGACGTCTTGAAGGCTAAGAAATGTACTATGGCATCAGCTTTCAGGAACTACATGCATCAAGTGACATAGACTCTAGTCCACGAAACCTTACACCATAATAAATTTGTTAGCCTTTAAGGTGCAACAAGGCTGCAGGTATGCTTTATGTTTCACTCAGAAATCTTCCCACCTCACAAAAGACAACCTAGCAACCTAGGGATGAGCATAACTGAACTTCTAAACTGTAATACACATTTTTTTAAAAAAATTTTAAACAGGATCGGCCTTAAAGTGGTTGTTTTAAAATTGTTTACTCTGTTAAGCATGCCAAAACTTACCTAAGAAAAATGTCAGAAATTGAAAAGGGCAACACTTAAATTTCTACTTAGCTTGCTATAGCCACTGCAAATGCTTTAGAACAGAACACTGAATTAAGAACTAAATCATTTCCCTACCACCGAGATCAGTTATTTATCAACCTCAGTCCTATATTGCTGGCAATCATCCATCTTTGTAAGATAATGAGGCTCCCTCCAGTGAAAGTAAGAGAAAAGAGCCCTCTTTGTGGCCTGATACCTTGGTGGCGATATGAAGAATCAAACTTCCCTAGCATCTCTTGATCTCACAGGCTAAATCCAAAGAAAAGACAACCATCAACACATGGGGTGACATGAATGTGATACGAGTGTGTACAGATTGTCCATTTTCTGCCTCACAGAACCCCAAATTATTATTTCTTTGGCATGTAAAGCCACAATTTTCAGCTTCTGTGTCACAAACTTCCTTCTGTCCTATTACGCAACAGGTTACATGCGTTGCAGATTATGTGTTTTTACACTAAATAAAATACAGCCACCAACCATATCTGAATTACAATTATGGTGCTTCCAAAGGAGTGTTTTAAAATCAGACAGTACGGCTTTTTCACTTCAGAAAGCAATTCAGTACGTACTGACGTACTGGTCCAAGCTGGGGACAGCTCCATTGACAGTATTTACTACTTTCTGCCTGCAAATTAAACAAACTGCCGCTGTTTGGTCCAGCTACTTTTCTTGCAACTCCAAGACTAAATACTTAATCTCTCCTGAAGATTCTTTGAAAAGTTTTCTTAAAAGAAATTGGAATAGTTGAACTAGGACGGTGCTGCTACTAGAAATCAAACAGGGGTAGTCTCGGAGGGAATCTCTCTTTCATTGCTAGGTGCAAAATATGAAAGTTGGACCGTCTATTCCTCCCTAGGGTCCTTCCGGCTCAACTGCTTATTTCTGCTAGTTTCATACTACCACAATATTGGGTACATTTTAGCAGTATCGTTCAAGGAATACGTAGGCTCCCTCCCAACCATCGCTCCCTGTGTCACCTGCAAGCAAAAGTACATAGTATGGACCCAAAAAGTATCCAGCCATAACACACACATCCAATGTTAACAGGTAAGAAGATTCAGAAGGTGTGGATTAGCTCCAAAAACCAATTACTTGATGTTCTTCCTACTCCTATTCATATGCCACGACATTCCCAGGACTTTGGATAACAAATCTTCACATGAAGATGAAACAATATATGTCACTAATGTAAGAATTTCTTATCCCACAAAGGTCTGAGACATTATTGTAACACTAAGTACGAGCACAGATAATTTTTCTCAGCCATTAAACACTTGTAATGGTCTCTATTATGGTGCCCTGACCACAGGATCTTCCACATCAATACGTATGGTTAGGAAACCAGGTAGGATGTGACACAGATCATTTCACAATTAGTCTTTACAGATCTGGTTTGCATTCCAAGGCTCAACTATTGCATTACCTGGTTCCAAAAGCGGTGCCTAACTCTAGCCACATGCATGCCCTACTGTCCAAGCTACTGAATATTTGTACAGCACACATAATTTGTTTCAGTTATAGGATTTTTATTCTGACAACTATGCCACAATTCATTACTCCAGGTTCCCGGGGAAGGGGGGAGGCGGCAGCACTGCAACTGTACACTGGAAAAGCAGCACAAGCCTTTCTTCATTTCCACACAAATAAGCCCTATTTGGGTGCTCTAATCACATGACATCACACAGAAAGGCAGAGCCCTTTGAGGCCTCCACCCTCACAAGTTCGGGAGGCAATGCCTGTGAAGTGGATGGAATCAGCTGTACGCCCATAGGCTCCTCCCATAACTGAGAGCCCCGCACAATCAGAGTTCCAATTAAGGAAGGAGGTGGGAATACATGTATGCAGGTAAGGTAAAGGTAAAGGGACCCCTGACTATTAGGTCCAGTCATGACCGACTCTGGGGCTGCGGCGCTCATCTCGCTTAACTGGCCGAGGGAGCTGGTGTACAGCTTCCGGGTCATGTGGCCAGCATGACGAAGCTGCTTCTGTCAAACCAGAGCAGTGCACGGAAACGCCGTTTACCTTCCCACCGGAGCGGTCCCTATTTATCTACTTGCACTTTGACGTGCTTTCGAACTGCTAGGTTGGCAGGAGCAGGGACCGAGCAACGGGAGGTCACCCCGTTGCAGGGATTCGAACGGCCGACCTTCTGATCGGCAAGTCCTAGGCTCTGTGGTTTAACCCACAGCGCCACCTGCATCCCTCATGTATGCAGGTTGTTCCCTTTTAAAGACACTGACTAACAATGCAGAGGCCCAGATAGTGTGATCTTTCCAACCACCACCCTGCCAAAAGATAACATGAACTGGACCTCTGTATGATCAGGCAATCAAGTGGCAGGCCGGGCTCGCACTGGAAGCTGCGCGGTGTTCACATTTCCCCATCGCCACAATATTGTAGCACTAGCCTAGAATGCATGATAAGGAGCTACACCAGAACTATATCATTTTCGCTTTTTTACTGCAGACAACTTTACTCCATCCTAGCTGTGTCGCCCACACTGAGGAAACTGCATCCCTATTACATACAGTGGTACCTCGGGTTACATACGCTTCAGATAAGATTTCTGCACAGGAGTGGCTCCAGATAAGGATCTTCTCTAAATAAGGGCAAGAGTGCATGAACAAGGACAGCCATGACCTACAGACAGGATTCATGCCCCTAAGTGTCCATTCCTTTGTTGGTATGACTTCATAGGTAAAATCATGAGGCTTAACATACACCAAAACTTAGACCTAACTTTTGATCCTGAAATTTTATCCTTCTTAACTGTATTTGAACTTCATTTGGCAGCCATTTTCACCTATGTTCCCTTTCCTGGATGACTTATTTTTCAAGAATTTAAGATGCTATACAGTGGTACCTCGGGTTACATACACTTCAGGTTACATACGCTTCAGGTTACAGACTCCGCTAACCCAGAAATAGTACCTCGGGTTAAGAACTTTGCTTCAGGATGAGAACAGAAATCGTGCCCCGGCGGTGCGGCGGCAGCAGAAGGCCCCCATTAGCTAAAGTGGTCTTCAGGTTAAGAACAGTTTCAGGTCAAGTACGTACCTCTGGAACAAATTAAGTATTTAACCTGAGGTACCACTGTACTTCCATTTGTTTTAAAGATTTATGTATCAACCTTCAGCAAAGCAACCAGGACAATTTACAAACACAGTTAAAATATGGTGTTGTTTTTTAAAAAGAAACCAGGATGCTTTCAAATTCAGTGGTAGCTGAAAAGCATTTACTTCTGGGTTTGCAGCATTTAAAAACTGAAATGTTCATCACTGGAGATGTTCAAAAACCAAGGTACCACTATAAATGCATTAAAAGAAGTCTGGAAGGATTAAGACTCACATTTGTTTGGCACCAAAAAGTTAACATGGATGCCTGTTGAGCCTCTCAGGAAGAGATGTTATCACTGAGAATGGCAGCTATTTAGTTGCGACACGTCCTATCTAGGATGATGGAGACACCTGAAGGCAAGGGTCCAAAGATTATCTCAACTCGTGAGCAAGTTGATATGGGAAAACATCCCCAAGTCCTAAGTCATATAGGACTTTAAGAAGTAAGCAGCATCACTTTCAATTGTGCTCAGAAGTATACCAGAAGTCTGTGAATCTCTGTCAGTGCTGCTATGTATGTTCTCATTAACCAGCACAAGGCAACACCCTGAAAACTGGATTTCGAACTACAGTTTTCAAACAGTGGTCAAAGGCAATGTAAGTCTATTAATGTTACCATGGCACAGTTATCTATGGTCATTTGGCACGATAGGAAGGAGCATCTTTCCCTACTCTCACCACCAAAAATAATCACTGCCTCTCAAGATTTCCTTGTAACATTGGGGAGGGAAGGGGAGAAAGAGTAAGATCCATTCAAACTTACTTGGCGTCACTTCTGGACTTCCTTTCAAATTCATCATCTTTGGGATGGAAGGCCCATACACATCTGCATCAAGCAAACCAACTGCTTTTGTCTGTGGAAGGAAAACACACAGCCACATCATTCTTAATGGAAAAAGTTATGTTTAACAGTTGTAAGCGAACGTTAATTTCAGCTCTAATTTAACTTTTGTAACTTATTAACTAGTGGTGCTTTAAATCTAGAAAGAACTGCACTCAATTACCCTACTCAGCAAGGGAGATACATGCACAGCCAGAAGATGTGCTTAAATGGAAGTATAGGAAGTGGAAGCACATTCCCACCTGGATCCAATGGTTACCAGGTGTAACTAAAGCTGGACTAGTGTCACTGATACAAGATTATGTTGAGACTTAAGTTTAAGAGTAAAATAAAAACTAAGAGGGGCCTCTCGGCATAAATGGAAGATATTAATAAAAAGATTCAGAAAAGGATGGATTATTACTTCTTTCGCAGGGTAGCTGCCATATTAGTCTGCTGGAGAAGGGCCACGGCTCAGTGGTAGAGCATATCCCTTGCAAGCAGAGAGACACAGGTTCAATCCCTGGTATCTCCAGGTAAGGCTGGGAGAGACCTCTGCCTGTAACCCTGGAGAGCTGCTGTGAAGCACTGTAGACAATACTACAATACTCTTTTGGTAGACCAAAAGAGCTGATGCAGTATGTTTATTCGTTTATTAGATTTCTATATGCCCTTCATCCAAGGATCACAGGGCGGTTTACAATATAAAAACCAAAAATATATAACATAGAAACAAACAAAAACAATACCACCACCCCCAAACAATTTAAAAGGCCATAGGTAAAGGTAAAGGGACCCCTGACCGTTAGGTCCAGTCGCAAACGACTCTGGGGTTGTGGCGCTCATCTCGCTTTTACTGGCCGAGGGAGCCGGCGTACAGCTTCCAGGTCATGTGGCCAGCATGACTAAGCCACTTCTGGAGAACCAGAGCAGCGCACGGAAACGCTGTTTACCTTCCCGCTGGAGCGGTACCTATTTATCTACCTGCACTTTGACGTGCTTTCGAACTGCTAGGTTGGCAGGAGCAGGGACTGAGCAACGGGAGCTCACCCCATCATGGGGATTCGAACCGCCAACCTTCTGATTGGCAAGCCCTAGGTTCTGTGGTTTAAGAGCGCCACCTGCATCCCACTTTAAAAGGCCATAGGTTGTTTAATTAGCCAAAGGCCTACGAGAAGAAGAATGTTTTTGCCTGGTGCCTAAAATATGTAACGAAGGCACCTGGTGAGTCTCCCTGGGGAAAGCATTACACAAGCGGGGGCCACCACAGAAAAGGCCTGTTTTAGTGTTGCTGCCCTTTGACCTCTTGCCAAGGAGGCACACAAAGAAGGGCCTCAGATGATGATTACAGAGTCTGGATCAGTTCATATGGGAGAGACGTTCCTTTAGAGAGCTTCTTATGTTCCTACGTAGCAAGTAAGTCCATAGCATCAATAAGATTTGTGGCATAAAGTTTTCTAGACTAGAGTCTAGCTTAAGAACTGCATGAAGGAATATTACACGTTGTACGGTGGTACGTACACATACACACATGATAGTAGAAGAGGAGGAGGAGGAAAGTTGGTCTTATGTCATTTGTCACAGATGACATACTAGCATGGTGTGGGAGAGCCCTATTCAACTATGTATCAAAACTATGCCCTATTCAACAGTATCAAAATGTGCTATTGAATTCAAACCCATCAGCTTCCTGATGCTACAATATAGTAGCCACATTTCAACTAACCCTTTTAGGTGAAATATAGTGACTATACTTCAAACTCATCTTTATCAAGATACAGTGGTGCCTTGCAAGACGAAATTAATCCATTCCGCGAGTCTCTTCGTCTAGCGGTTTTTTCGTCTTGCGAAGCAACCCTATTAGCGGCTTAGCGGATTAGCGCTATTAGCGGTTTAGCGGCTATTAAAGGCTTAGCGGCTTAGCTGCTAAAAGGCTATTAGCGGCTTAGCGGCTTAGAAAAAGGGGGGGAGCGAAAAAAAATCTCAAGACTCGCAAGACATTTTCATCTTGCGAAGCAAGCCCATAGGGAAATTCGTCCTGTGAAGCGCATCGAAAAACGAAAAACCCTTTCGTCTAGCGGGTTTTCCGTATTGCGAGGCATTCGTCTTGCGGGGCACCACTGTACTTTGTAGTGCCTTCTTCATCTGTAATATCGAGGGTGCCAAACACAGAGGGTCTTTTCAGGGGTGGCCCCCTGGTTGTGAACATTATCCCCAGAGAGATCCACTTGGTGCTTATAGTGACATTTTTCAGCAGAAGGTGAAAACTTCTCTGTTTACCACCAAGCCTTTTAAACATCTTTATACAAATTTAATATCTTAAAGTCAATATTACTAATTGTTTAGTCTCTACTTTGGCAGCATTTGAGCATTTTATTTTACCTTCCATGGAATTACTGTCGCGCTTTCACTCGTGGGGGGGGGTGTTTGTGTGTGTGTGTGTGTGTGTGTGTGTGTGTGTGAGAGAGAGAGAGAGAGAGAGAGAGAGAGATTTTATACACCGATTTTGTTTTATCTGATCCAGTATTTTATTGTATTGATTTTTGCTGTGTGTTGCCTAAAGGGACTAGAATAATAGGCAGCTGATAAATACAAACAACACATAAGAAAACAGATATTGCTTTCATGCTGAAATGTAGCCAGTTCTGTATCCAGGCTACAAAAGAATTTGCAGACCAGAATAGACAAGGCATTATCTTCTCTGTAGCGTTTGGCACAGTTTACTAGCTTTAGGTTTGTCTTAGCAAGTTATTTCCTTACCCTGCAGGGACAGCACACGTTAGCAGTTCAAGACCTCTATTTGCAGCACTACTTCCCAGTGAATGTTGGGCTATTCTGTTAAGGTCTGCCCTTCCAACTTCACACTTCTGCAAGGTTTTTTAAAAGAGATAGCCCCCAGGATGATAGAGCATAATTGCTCTCAACTACTACATACAGCTGGACAGAAGGCAAGAAATTGAAGAAGGTTTGGTGTTTAAAACGTTAGAAATTCTTTCGAGCTGTAAAAGAATTGTTCAGCAATGGAGAAAAATTTGCTTTGGAAACCTGTGAATGATTTTCCTTGGATGTTTAAGAGAAGATGAACTGAAATCGCTAATTATTTCTGGCAGCATTTAACCAGAATGGCATTTAGACTTGGCACTGGAGATGGTTGAGATCCTGAAAAAACGAAACCCAGTTCTGGACTCCAGAATGAGTCGGATTCCAACTTAAGCTACTATTACATGGCTGGAGGAAGATGGGTTTTCTTCCCACCACGACCTACACAACGCCCTACACAATTCCCCACCAATGGTCAGGGGATGGTGCTGAATGGGGCAGGCTGAGGGAGAATGACTCTGTCCAATTTGCAGGGTTGCTGCCCTTCCACCTGAGCAATCTTTGCACAATAAATAAGAAGAAGAAGAAGAAGAAGAAGAAGAAGTTGTTATTATTACTTATACCCCGCCCATCTGGCCAGGTCTCCCAAGCCATTCTGGGCGGCTCCCAAAAGCACAATAAAACATGAAACATTAAAAACTTCCCTAAACAGGTCTGCCTTCAGGTGTCTTCTAAAAGTCATCTAAAATGGCACAACAGTCCATGCCATTCAGCAGCTACTGCAACACTTCTTTGCCCCCGCCTTTTGACACCTGAGATGCATACTGTATTTTTCGCCCTATAGGACGCACTTTTTCCCCTCCAAAAATGAAGGGGAAATCTGGGTGCGTCCTATGGGGCGAATGCAGGCTTTGCTGAAGCCTGGAGAGCAAGAGGGGTCGGTGCGCACCGACCCCTCTGCTCTCCAAGCTTCAGGAAGGCACCCGCAGCCGAGGCAGCCCGGCGGGCGGTCCCGCAGGGCTGTCTAGGCTGCGGATCGCAGCCTGCTTCCCGGAGCGCCGGGCGCGCTGAAAGCAGAGCGCCCGGCGCTTCGGGAACGCATCCGCAGCCTAGGCAACTCTGTGGGAGTTCCCGCAGGGCTGTCTAGGTTGCGGATAGCAGCCTGCCGCCCGGCGCGAACGGCACCCTGAAGCAGAGCGCCCCTTGTGCCGGGCAGACATCAGCAGCATGGGGAGCCCTGCAGGAGTTCCCCGCAGGGCTCCCCACGCTGCGGATAGCAGCCTGCCGCCCGGCGCGAGGAGCACCCTGAAGCAGAGCGCCCCTCGCACCGGGCAGACATCGGCCAGCCCCACAAGCTCGGGGGACAGCAGGGAGGCGCAGCGCCGCCATCCCGCTGTTCCTCAACCTGGTTCGGTTTCCCCGACCTGGTTTTGGGGGGGAAATAAAGGGAATTTTTTTCCCCTTTATTTCCCCCCCCCCAAAAAAAACTAGGTGCGTCCTATGGGACGGAGCATCCTATGGGACGAAAAATATGGTAATTCTTGGAACCAACCTTACTTCTGTGATCGCAAGTTGTTTTTAAACCACTTTTAAACATTGTAGGTTAACTGTTGTAACCCACCCTGCGAGTGGGCAGGAAATAAATTATAACTCCCTTTGGTGAAGCATGTGGGGGTGGGGTGGGGGGTGTCATGAGGTGGAAGGGCAGGGATATAAACTGCTGCCCACTAAGAGAAGCTTAACTGGAAGTCATGCGCCTGCCTTGCCCGAGTTGAAGCATCTTTCTGCTTGTGCAAGAAACTTTTGGATACAAGCCTACCGCTGTTAGCACAGCAGGGTGCTGGCCTAAAGCTATTATTATTAAAAGCTGGTATTTGAAAAGCAGGATTCCATTATAAGCAATAAATGCTTCTGAATTTAAAAATAGCTGTTCTTATTCAACTTGTACCTTTCTCAACACTGATAATTCAGATACACTAAAATGCACAGTCACACATGAGCTTAGCGATGGGGTTATAGAAGTGGTTTGGGTTATTAAGGAATAACTGATTTTTCATTTATTTAGAGTCCCGCTGAAAATATGGCAGCCCAATCCCCCAGCACGTAAAGCCAACCATGTCCCAGAACCCTAATCCCCTAACCACCAGAAACCATCATTAGCTCCACTCCCACCCAACACAAAATTCTGAGGTTTGACCAGGCCACTATAATCAGCAGTACCAACTTTGCAACTTGATTCTGCGGCATCTGTCACAAAGGTTGAGTGTTCCATAATCATCATCTGCCTTTATCTGATGCTGTAAATTAACATCGTATTTATGCTTGCTGCTGGCGGGCCACAAATTTCGGATCGACTTGGTAGTTAATAAGGGCCAGGTTTCCTGTTTCCTGTTCAAAGGACTACGTTCATCCAGTGCCCACTAATGAGGGGTGGGGTTGGGTTTAGAGGGAGGAGTTGTGGAGAGATGTGGGCACATATGTTTGTAACAAACCCAAACCCATTATACTGATATTGCATCTTGACCCATTTTGAAAGAGGCACTCTCTGCTTCCCCATGATGCCACCATCTTTTAAAGAACCTTCCTTCTACAGTGGCACCTTTTAGAGGCTTTCACCACTGGCTGCCCATGTTAAACTTATGGATGCCATTGTCTAACGTATTGGTGGACCCCTGCATATGATGCTATTTATAAACAGGAACTGCAGCATCTTCA